CACATTTCTCAGCACGTTATTAACTGCTTCACTTTGCTCTTGGCCACCAGTCTATCACAGGAGTCTGATATAACAGTATTTTTTAATAAAAAATACATAGTATACATGACTGATACTGTGTTCAGTTTGAAATTGATATCTAGCCTAGAAACAAAGAATCCAGGGTACTGGGGCAAGGAAGAACAGTCCTCCTGAATTTTTATTTACTCCAGAACTGTTAAGGGGAGGTCTGTTAAAACTGCTCCTGAATCCTTTTTTTTTCACTTCATTATTATTTCAGAAGCTTCCCCTGCAAGATTCAGAGTCTTCCTTGCCAGGCCACTGAGATTTAAGACTTTAATGTAAAGAAGGTCTTAAACTACTAGGTCCTTTCTTCCTGTAGTGAAACAGGTCATTGCTGGTGCTCCTTCCCCAGCTTTGACTGTAGCCTTGAAAATGTTCACCAGGTCTGATCTGGACTGCAAAGAGTCAAAGGCAAATCCTCCTTTTGCCTTCCAGAGTAGGAATACAACAAGAAATCACTTTTTTTTTTTTAATCCACTCACATAACTATTCTTCTTTTCCAGGTTGCGTCCCCTTCACAAAGATCCCCTTTTTTTGCCCTGGCCAACAAAATTTTTAGACTTGACAGCCCTGTGTAAGGGGAATAAAAATACTCCTACACACACACACACACACACACACACACACCTGTCAAATACTGGTCTGAATTTCAGTAGACAAGGAAAACCTCCAAGCCTACACAAGGATCACTTGGACACCATCCAAGCCGTCGGAGAACAGTCGGTGTCCCAGGGGAACACACAGACAAAACCAGATCAGCACAGTCATGTAATGGCTGTTGTGACCAATGGTAGTTGCTCTGTGTGTGTAACCACTATTGGATTACCAGCGTAGTTTTCTGTTTTTCACTACCCTGAGGGAACACTAATCAGCTTTAAACTGTTGCTCACCGAAGCATTCACTTAGTGAGTGTAATCATACTGCTCTTAAGGTACTCATCCCTCATAAATTCTGGAGTCAGCTGCACTGTGATTGCAATTTATGCTCTTACAGAAAGGAGAAATGGACCAAAGGTTGGCTTTGCATAAGTGTAGACTGCTTGTGTTCCTAAGGGGCTATGTTGCAATGCACAGAAAGAGCCAGAAATGCAAACGAAAGGCAGTTATTTATCAGTTTCTGCCACAGCTGGAAAATCGTAAATCTTTGCTTAAGGAAAAAAACCCACCCAAATTACTAAGGAAAAGGTTAAATATACTACAATAATAAAGTTCCTATCATTGCCAAGAGAAATCACAGATACTGTTCCTCTGCTGTGCACAATGTAACTAGGTGTTTAATTTTTATGTGTGTTTGCTTATTCTGTGGATTTGCAGGCGGAATTACCCGGAGAATGGTTCGTGCAGCTTCAGGTACCTCAACATGTGTGGAGTTTGTAGGCTCAGAGCCGGCCTACAATAACAGCCAGTTCATACCTCTGCCTATAAGTAAAGGTAAAAACAACCCCCAAACAAGTCTGCTTTTCAGCTTAAGAAAAATGAGAGTGCTAAAATTGTATTTTAGCACTTTCAACTTCCCTTATATTTTAAAGCTAGCATTTACAATTTGAAACAAGCGGTATGGATGTTTCTTTCAAACAGGTGGACTCATTCTCATCCACGGTGAAGTCGTCCATAAGAGTGAACTGAACAGCTCGGAGTCTTCTCGCCACGCGTTCACCTTCCATGTGATGGAAGCCAAAGACACCAGCTGGAGCAAAGAGAACTGGTAAGGTTGCCATCCTAACAAGCAGCTGAGGAAACTAGGGCCTTTTCAATGCAATAGCCAGCATAAACTTTTATTGGTGGTCTTGCATGTCAGAGTTTCTGTTGGTAGTACCTCAGTTAGCACTGATTTCATACCTGTAGAACTGGAATAGCCTCTGAAGTTTTGTTTTTACCTCTTCCTTACTTCCTAGGCTCCAGCCAACTCCTGAACTGCCTTTTCCATCACTCTACACTTGAAGTTAGCGATTGGCTTCTGGAGTCAGTAGCTGATCAATATTCCTTTCTGATTGTTCATTCATGTTCCCTTTACATACAACTTTCACTAGATCAGCTCTCAAGAGTAATTAATCCTCTTCTCAGAACGAGGACCCTTGACACAGCTGAAGATACCTGCATTAGACAGAAGCTTCTACCACAGCATGAGCCCTACTAGTATGGGAATAGTCGCCCAGTTCTTTTGGTAAGGAAACTTCTTCAGTCTTGGGAATAGACCGTTAAAGACAATTGCACCTTGACTGGGACCAGTTAAGAAGTATTTCTTCTTGCACATACTGAGTATTTTTTTTCTGTTTAAGTCAAGAGCTTGTCTAGTGCTTTTCTTGGCTGTGTCAATCCCAGCAATTCAGGTGAACATGTCATATAAGATATCCGACTTCTACCCTTAGGTCTTTGTCCTATTGTTTGAATAACAGTGATTAAAAATAATCCTATTGTGGGCAAAATTAAGCAGGAAGTCTACTTTTATAATAAATTTTCTAAGTATTTCTAGCAAACTGTAGCTGAGTGTTTGATCTCTCGGTGTGTTGATTAAAAATATTACAGTTCTTAAAGATTTATGTTGAAATTATGAAAAGAAAAAACCCCAATCAAACTCCTAACAAATAAAAAATTAGAAATTCTCCTTTTCATCCCCCTCATCTTTTCTTTGAGGAAGATAGTGTGACCTTCTCCCAACAGACGGGGCCAGTGCTAAGTTGTCTGATGACCGGTTGGAACTCTCAATATGCACAAGAACAATTACTATCCCCAAAACCCCAACAAAAGCAAACCAACTTATAGCAAGGTGAAGCCTAAGGAATGTTAAGAAATATAAGTTACATCCGAGGCAACCTCAAGCCTGTATCCTAAACTGAGCAGCTGTATAGGTCTAATTTCAGTGGCACTGGTGCAGTGGCAACCCTGAGATATGAGCCTGGTATCATCAATGCACTAATTACATCGTAGCAACCTTAAGACTGCTCAACCCTGGCAGAGTGAGCCCCAGTTCTTACTGACTCATCCCTTTCAAAAGTATATTGCCTGTCTCTGGCATTTGTTTGATGCAAAATAGGCAAATTTGGTTTCTTTATGGTAAGATGTTTCCTTTCAGCCCTTTGGGCTTTGCTAGGCAGTGCAGAATAGGTTCAGTACAGCAAAGAATTCATCACAGAGGAATGATCAGGTGGCTGTAGTAGGAATTAGGAAGCTGCATAATGGCAACAGCAATAATGTTCAAAGTTTCTGCAGGTACAGCTGCTGCCCCTCCCCTACCTTTTCTACAGTTTGTTTGAAAGCTGTGAGTGGGGTGGAGGCAAAGTGACTTCCTTTAACTCTGGTGCTATTTTGTGATGTTAGGGGTGAAGCCTGTGGCTCGTGATGGAAGCAGCTAAAGCTTTTTCCGTATCTTTCCATTAGAAGAGTTAATAATTTAGAATAGCACCTTTCTGCTGAGGAGTGATAGTTTGTCCTCTGATTACATGCATCACTACCTGCAATGTACAAAACCATCTAGTTCAAGTGCATAAATAAAAGCAAGAAGCTGGATTGGATTTGCAAGATTAAATGTGAAGGAAACTCAGTCTAGCACAATTACTGAGTTTGGCTTCCTACAAAGAGTATCTGACAAATTACTGCATTATTAACCAACTCCGGACAATTTTGACAACCTTGGGAAAAGCAGTATCAAATCTCAGGAGCCCTGCCCAGGCTGGGGAGGGGTAAATTGGGCAATGCTGCGTCTCAGCTATTCGAGTCCTGGCTTGTTGCAGGGACAAACACACTATTAGACTCTGGGGCCAATTTTGCTGGCTTGGTCTGCTGGCCCAGAGCACTAGTTTCACTCCACCCCTGCTCTTATTCTCACTCCTAAGACACAGTCTCAGGGCTAGGACTGCAGGACAGTATTGTGTCAGGTATCTTGGACTCACACAAAACTGTTCCCAAAAGTGAATAAAAGAAGTGTCAGAAGTTAACTGCATCCTGCAAACAGGAATCGGGGAATGCAAGTCTTCTGCTTTGACACTTCTCAGGGGAAGGGCAGAGGCAGGGAGGCGTATGTGTTAATGTGCCTTGTTCTAATGGACATTTGGCAAACTGGCAAGAAAGTGTTTAATACATAAAAATTAGGTGGGTTTTTTTTGGCCACAAAATTGGTAGTAATAGGTTTAATTAAATGGACAGAATTAAATAGCTTTACTCAATTTGTTGACAGACACATTTTTATAAATTATTTGATTAAACATCTAGCTGAAAAAAATGTGAAAAGTAGAAAACTGCAATAGTATTAAAGTTTATTAGTTTTAACAGATTTTCTGCTTTCATGATTAATGTGCAATTAGTTTTTTCTGTGACTCTGCTTAATTTTTTTCCCCCTATATTGAATGTTATTCAAAATTAATTTAGAAATTAAAATCTTGAAGATACAACATTTTTCTTGTTGCATACATCTCCAGGGCTAAAACTGCAACTCTCTTGTTAGTACTGCTTGGAATAAACAGTCTCTTACATTCTCAAACCTCCTGTACCTGCCCCAGATAAACTTAGCTATTATAGCTACTGAATTTGAAGCTGTGTTCATACATCGTAGTGTGTTAGTATGGCTCCTGTTGACGGTGACTGGATACATTGGGACAGTCACATTCACTTTGTATAGATGGTGGCCACCCTCATTATAAAACATGCTTTAAATGGTGCTCATACAGAAATAAGGAGTTTGCATATGCAGTAATACAAGACTGCAGGGCTCAGTACAGTAAAACAAGTTTTGGCTCTGATGCAGTACAGAGGTGGCAAAATCTGAGAGGTTTGCTTATTTTTTTTTTTCCTCTCATTGACTTACCTCTTCTTCCTCTAACTCCTTTGCCTCTGAGCACCCAGAAGAGACAGAAAAATAGCATTTGTGTTTAATAATCCAATTTACAAGTCACATTTGTGGTGTTCTGAGAACATAAATCAACTCATGCTATTTTAAACAGGAGGAAAAGAACAAGACCAAACCAAAACCTTTATTTTAAAAGGTCTTTTTCATTTCTATTTTTAAGAATTTTATCTGCTGTACCAAAAGCAGTGTTTAGATCAGCTTTGAGCTCTCAATACAGTGCATATTCTATTACCGCTTTCCTCTAGAAAGGGAGAAACCTCTGTTCCTGGAAGTGCTTCTAAGCCATAAACATTACCTGGAGGTAGAGAGGCAACAGTAGATTATCAATTTGGGTAGTATAAGCTTCCAAAAGAGAAACTAAACTCACAGACACCAGAATCCAGGCATAGCTGGAGTTCAGATTCACACTGCTGTCAAAGATCAGAATAAGAGCCACAGCAATGATCTGAGCAAAAATAGCTGTCATTGTCCCTTCAAAGGTCTTCTTTGTTCCTGGCCATTTGATTTCCCCCATTGTACTACCAAAAACAGAGGCAATAGTGTCTCCTACCCCTACTGCCAGTACCCCCGAGTAGGGGATCAGTGCTCCTGCCCCAGACAAGGTACCTTTAGGAGCACAAGATCTGGGGAACAACCATACTGGGAGGGACATGCCAAGGAGGAGATAAATATGAGTCAAGATTAGAGGTCCACTGTCTCTTTCATCCAAGAAGAGAGACAGCAAATGCCTAAGGGTTTGGCCAAATGGTTTGATCCTGAAGTACCGAATATACTCTAAGAAGATAAACACTGCCAGACACAGTACTGCAGCGATGTAGAGAAGCTGGCGGTCATAGATTAGTCCAGGAATGTAAGTAGCTACAACAATGAAATGGAAATATTTCCTTGTTATAGTTGAAGCCTGGTGTTTTTTAGATTCAGACGATCTCTTAGCATTCTGGTAGAAAACTACACCACATGCTGAAGCAGCCAAAAAGGTCCAATATACAAGAAGGTAAACTCTTGTCTGTGTCTGAAACAGAAACTGGAGTAGCCAGAACAAAGGGTTCCTCTGGATCAGTCGGTAAAGCCAAGGCATGATGACCCCTAAGCCTAGCACTGCTGTCATCATGTGGAAAAACATGGAGGAGATCCACGTACCCGAATCCATGAAAACGAAGAGCACAGTGAAAAAAAGCCCAAGAAGAACAACTCCAACAACTGCTACCAGAAGGAAAAAGTCTATGGGATCGCCTCTGCCCTCAATTACATTCAGTGAGCGTTTAATGAGCTGATTGAGAACAAAACTTATACCTCCGAGAACTAGCAATGCTTCTCCAGGAGTAAAGCATCGAGGCAACAAGTACAGCAAGATCATACTGAGGTAGACAAAAATTAGCAGCACTTCTAGGACCTCTATCACTTCTGAAACAGTCAGAGAGTGCTTCATGGTATAGATAATTATACTGCCAGCAACACCGGTAAGTATGCAAGTGTTGGTTGGCACAGGTTTTGTGATGCCAACCGCTATTACAGACAGAAAGAGAGCAACCAGCATGCCAGTGGAAGCTACAACTATGCCAAAACGTTCAAAGTACACTATGCCAGCGGACTTGCACCTCTCCTTCATCACTATCCCCAACAAGGGGATGACCATGCTAGCTGGCAGGAGGCCACTGTTCGCTGCTGTACGGAACTGGAATACAGCCCCACCCAGCTGCAGCAGACGGTCCCATTTGAATTGGACATAAAAAGCCTGGATGGCGAGAGCGACAGCGCACCAGGAATACCGGTCCCACACCACAGCGTGCACAAAGAGAACAATGATGAACACGATCAGGGATTCCACCAGCACTGGCTTGTTTAACATGATTCCAGTCCAACGTGGGTCAAGCTTTCAAAATCTTTCTCAGGAGTCCCGATGTGCTCAATAGTTGTCCATTAGGAAGAATTCCCTTTCATGCTACTACAATTCCTATTAAAGAAAAAAAAAAAAGCAAACAATTAAAGCAACTACTAGAAAAGCGAAAGCTTCCACACAGCTGTTTTGTTCTTAAGCTCAATTTAAACTGATAATTAGGTGCCAATTGTTAATGTCAGTGCACAGGTGAATAAAAAAAAAAAACCCCAAACCAGTGAGGTAATGGATCAACCAAAACTGTTAACCCTCCCTGAGAATCAGAGAAGTCAGCCTGCAGTGACAGAAATGAACCGCTGAATACTGGGGTATTCAGATACAGTTTTAAATATTTCTGTTGCACTGTCTTTGAAATGAAATATGAAGCAAACAAGCCATAAATATTTCCAGAAGGCTTCATTGTGATGGTGTGAATTTGAAATACAGTTAATTTGAAAGTTTAAAGATAATTTTAGAACCTATTTTTGTATGCAGTTTTCACTGTAGTTTTACAGAATGTTCCTCCTTTTATTAAATATTTCTTCTCCCACTGCTGTGCCAACCCTCCTACGTACTTTTCTCTCCTTCTGTTACTGGTGTTATGATTGAATACTTCCACTACTGCAGCAGGTGTTTTATAATGCTATGTAGTATTTACAATAAAAGTAGGAAAGAAAACATCACAATCATTAAAAAAAAAATTGTCAAATGGCATACTTTATCTAATTTTGGTCTATTACCAGAACTGTCAAGATAAGCTGTTGGAAATCTGCGCACAGAAAAATCAAATGAAAAGAAATAATTGTGCCTGCAGCCATGACAGGATGTTCATCACATCCTTAGTATTAAGCAGCTTAATTTGTTCTGCTTCTACAGCACTGCTGGGTCATATTTGTGACAAAGATACCTATTCTAAAATATGCTTCTAGTCCATCTTGACATATTGGCAATATTCTGTTTAACTCTAGGATGTGTTGCAGCCATACGATTTAACCATTATACAGCTTCATATGTGAGTAAATGAGTCTGATTTATTCTTCCTTACCTTTAAAGAAAGGTAATGGCTTAATTTCTCTTTAACCCATGGCACAGCCCCTTCCCCCTGGCAGATATCTTGATTCCCATTTTCTGAGTGAGAATCCCACACTCCTATTTTACACAGGCTCTAGGTCTGTATCAATAAGCAAAATATTTTAATGTTAGTCAGTCATTAATGACACTAGACAAATAGCAAGTCTCATCCCAAAAACATATCATTACTAAGTGATTTGTTTAACTAACCTCTGGTATGCACTATTTTCCTCAAATTCTTCAAGAGTAAGTAAACCTTGTAAGACATTCTTGATCATGCTCTAAAGCTGTCATTGTTTTCTATATCCCCTCATGCCCTTGTCTTACTAACGCTGCATTTACAGCACTTCACCTTCTCTGAATCAAGGTTCACAGCCAATGACAGCTGCATTGCAAACTAATCTTTCCTTTAAACTTTTCAACTATAAGATAAATAGTTGAGATAATCAGCAATGCACACAATGACTCTATTAAGTTAAATCATATCTTATCTTCTTTGAAGTATTATGGGCATTCAAACATTGTGCAATTCTCACCAGCATTTATTGCCTTCTGGCAACCTTTATTTCTCCTCATCCATAATCTGGTATTATGTCTTAGCCATACATAAGCCAATGCCATTATACTAGCATCTCTTTTGGGTTCTTTGAAGGTATTGGTCCTTGTTTCTGTTGGCAATAGAATGGCTGATGCAGTTCTATATACCCCTGCTGGATATGATACCTCCAGCTAAAACTTTGGATTGCTTCATCCTTTCTGGCCCACCCTTAAGCCAATTAGTAGTAAACTTACTAAATTCTGCTCCCCCAGTCTCATTACTAATATCTACATTAGCTCCCTCATGGAAGGCTAGAAGTTTATTTAAAGTTCTGGTTTGGGTTTTCATCCAGTGTTGAATGGTGTCACCAGACTACAAAGCTGATAGAGATCTTAGTAGTAATATTATTGGGTGACTATTAAAGTTTGTACCATCAAACTCCCTTACACTGTGTATCTGGAGCATTTAGTTATTTATGACTTTGTACTGAAAACTCTTTAGTATTAATAGATTTCTTTTTGGCATCCTTATTTGCATAGCCTGAAATACTTGATTGCCAAACAACTTCATTACATTTGCTGTTGCTATACAGCTAGATCAGGCCAAGTGTAACCTTTTTTGCTATCACAACTCATTTTTAAACAGAACAGGAGAAGAATTAATCATATAGTCAATAAAACAGAACTGGCATGGGCAATATCTGCCTACGACTCATAATGGTTTTGGGGTCCCACTCCTTGTTTCTGAGCACAGGGGAGGGGGAAGCTTAAGACTTACTTGAGAAAAGGTGGGGTAAATACCACAAGCTAGCCAAAGATTGAAAAAGACCTCCCACTCCGTCTGGCAGCTTTAAGGTTGCAACCCAGCTCTTGCATCAACACATGACAGCTTCCCCCAGCAGGCAGCCTGCCAGCTCGGCTATAAGACAAGGAAGAATGTCACCATATGAAACGCAGGGCTCCTACTCTAACGCACCAGCTTTGAATTTGCAACACGATGTATTTCACTGCTGAATGATTTCATTTTCTTGTGCCTGCTGCAGTTCCCTTCTTCACACCTTCCTTCAGGTAACGTGATGCTCCTCAGCACTCCCGCTCTCTCACACATCGAACGGGACCCATCGCCCCCAGTTTCAAGCCGGACTAAGCGTCTTCTGCCCGTTTCGTGACCGGCATCCCGGCTGCTCTGAGTAGGGAAGCTTCCCACCGACGTGC